GAGAGCCAAGAAAAAACACAAAGAAGCTATGCTCTTGTCCAATGGAGAACAGTATATTTTTATCTTTTTTTTTAACAAAAATATTAAAAGAACAACATCCTCTTTCATACATGTATTTGCTACATGTTGTTCTCTGCAAAATGTCCACAGGAAGGTGTGTGATGTCATTTTTCAATGCACCACAAGCATTTTCTTTGACTATATTCTAATGAATATAACAAAACCTGTGTAAATAAAACGGAATTAATTTAATAAATTTTACTTTGTAATTAAGGCGAATTGAGCCTTTAAAGGTCCAGTGTGTTAGATTCTGTGGTATCTAACAGTGAAGTTGGCATGACAAGATTTCTTTTGGCCCCATCTGGCCATCTGTATGTACAATTTCTTGGGGCACTACTGCCTATCAAGAACCAGTGTTTTGTTTGTCCAATCTGGGCTACTGTAGAAACATGGTGGACTCCGCCAAAGAGGACCCACTTCATTTATTTGCAAAGATATTTTGGGGGCTTTTAATGCTCATATAGGACAGGTGAAAATAGACAGGAAAGGGGTGGGGGAGAGAGAAAGGGAATGACATGCAGCAAAGGGCCACAGGTTGGAATTTAATCCAGGCGTCTGCAGTAAGGACTACTGCCTACATAGGGCATGCGCTCTACAAGGTGAGCTACTGTGTGCCCCAAAATGGCTTATAAGGTAATGAAAACACAATGAATGTTATTTTCAGGTAACCATACGATAATGAAAACATACCTATTAATATTCCATTTCTTTCAATAGATCCTCCTGAATGTTACACACTGGACCTTTAAGTTATCATACTGAAAGTGCATTTTAAAAATCCAGTATTCCACCTGCAAAAACAATTTTGATGCTCTATTAAATAATGTATTGTCATTTATAATGTAAGGCTTTTCTTTGTAGGGAAAGTTTGAAGTGGGCTTTTAATCAATTTTATAATGTATCACAATGCAACCCACAGCATGTTTCCAAATCATGTCTGTAGGAGGTCCAGTGAATGTAGCGCATCATATATCTGGCCATTCTGCATCATTATGTGTAATTATTTATAATAAGAATTTCACTGAAACTCTGCCTTGCTTTTACTGGAGTGCTCTCACTGCTCTCAAGGTACAGAGCATGCACTCTCAGTATGACACAGCATGAATGCAAAACATGTTGTACAGCCACCTTTGAAGCAGACTAGCAACAAAAATAACAATACAATTTTTTTTTTTATCTTTCACATTTTATTCAGCTTAATTTTCTTTTTGGTAAAGCTGTCGATGATGTGGTTTTACTTCAGTTGTCCATATTCTGTTCCAGCTAAAAAAAACAATAAACTGATCATACTAAATATGTATGTGAAACCAGGCATGCAGTGCAGGTTTAAACCAGCAGCATTGTTATATTCATGAAAGGTCACATTCTGCCACTATTGATTCAGTATGGTTGACTTCAGTGCTTCCAAAACATCTGAACAGTTGTACATAGACTAGGACCCTGCAAAGCAGAATGTATAGATCGATGATTCAGAGAAATTACACGTGTTCCCATTTGTACAGCTTTTATTTATTTAGAATAAATGTACCTTACACCACAGTGTGTCACAAACTAACTGACATAGTCTGTTAAGACTCAAGGTGGCCTGCGGTAGTAGCACCACTGAGATCTGTAGAGTAAGAAGAAGTCGTCTACAGCCATGATAGCAGCTCTGTGAGGTGTTGGCACAGTGTTACTCTGAGCAAAATAGCTTAAACAAGCTGAAATGCCAAACTGGCTTGACACATCTTGGGGTCTGAACCAATCAGCGTCCTATGAGGAACTACTGGCAGCTACAGGTGTGGTGATTCATTTCGTCATAAGTGAATGATCAAAAACAACAATGGCGGCTCTTTAAGAGGTTAGCGTAGATGCTGCTAGCATCAGTAATATAAGAACTGGAGAGTATTTCTTCATTGAAAGACGAGCAAAGAACAGCACTTAAAGAGGTCCAGTCATTATGGACCAATAGGTAACATCAAGTTAACAATGAATTCAAATTTCCCTTTAAAAAAAAGAAACACACCATATCAATACTTATCAATCCTTATCTATGTCCACATTCTAAATTGATGCAGTTGGTTGCATGTTAATGCATATATGTAATTTCTATTGTACAGTATATTGGTCACAAGGTGATACTCCTGTCTGTGTCTTTGTCTTCTGTTTTATAGTCTTGGAGCTCTTGTGGGTCTCTCTGTAGCAGCTGTGGTTCTTCTCGCCTTCATCATCACTCTCTGTGTCCTCTGCTATCTGTTCATCACCACTAAACCCAGGGGTTTGGACAACGGGCTGCCTCTGCGAGCACCAGGTACTGACTGTCCATCCGTCTCTCTGCAGGGGGCATTGTGCTAACAGCTCGATAAAATACACTGAATTATTTAGGAGCGACCTCCTGACGTTTATTAACTGCTGATCCCAGGGACAGAAACAACCTGACTTTGCGAGCTGGGGTATTTTGTCATATAAGACAAAATATATATATATATATATATATATATATTATATATAATATATATTTCTTTTAAACTATACTTTTGTATATATTTTACCCTGTGTAATTACATTTATTTGTACACCATGCCACTACCTCCTGCTGTGATCTGTGCCTGTTCCATATAAATCACTTCTGTATATAGTGAACATATAACTCTTATTCTATTTTTTCTATTTCTATTGCATCGTGTATTTTTCTGTTTCTATTGTGTTGTGTTTTATCTGTAGCTGCTGTAGTGAGTGAATTTCCCCAGTGTGCGATCAGTAAGGTCTATCTTATCTTAGTGACATAACCATTGAATGGGTACGAAACAAATTCAGGCTACAGGCAACCAGCAAGGTATGATATGAAAGTGTGCATGGTTGTATTATAAGCACAAAACAAGATTTGAGGGCAGTGTCTCAGCTTTCATGCTTTGCACATTTCAAAACTGCTCTCTCATTTTTCTCTAGCTGTTCAGAGCATGTGAAGTGAGTTCATAACTTAAAAAGCCATGTCTTTATATTTGCCCATTACACAGCTACAAGGCAGAGTGTCACAGGACAATATACCTGCAGTTTCAAAGCACATGGGAGTTGCTCTGCTCTCCCTTTGAATTTGCATGTGAGGGATATAAACTGCCAAACCTTCAAACAGCTTCAAAGAAACTAAGCAAAGAGAATGCAGGGACAAGTTCTTTTACTTTTTTTTTGGGATGATAAGATGGTATCGTCTTAACATGTAATAGCAGTTTCATAAGCCTTAAAATGCTAGAACACACACTTATTTTGCCTAATTAGTGACTCTTCTCAGGAATGATGCCTACCTTCAACTGAAGCACAGGTCTTTAAAACACCTACACTACTAACTAACTACATGTTCATCTATGCATGCTGGCTAGTAGGGATGTGGCTTTTTATTGGAAATTCCAAAATTCATTCGAACGTGGTTAATGTAATGACCTGTTTGAATTGACAATTATATAGTCTATAGATACCCGTAAAACGTACATTTACCCCAAATTAAACCCCAGCTTTAAATTTAAATAACAAAAGTTAGGATTCATTAATTTGATACTTTGGTGCTCATGGTTTCCTGTAAAATGAACTGAACGATTAAATTATGGAGAATCTAACTGATCTAATTATATGTAGCATGTCCATACTGACAAAAGTTTCAATTTCAGTTTGTGATCTAGGCAGCTTAGATTATTATTTAGGAGCAACCTCCTGATCTTTATTAACTGCTGATCCATCTAACCCTAACCCTGACTTGGTGAGCTTAGGTATTTTATTTTTGTCAAAAGAAAAGAGGTTTAAAAAGTTTTCTGTCTCCCAGGTGCTACATTGAGTCCACAAGTACCAGGTCCGAGTCATACCGCTGCCCCTGCTGGCCCACAAGGCTTCAGGAAACACTTCCTGAGGGGCAAGCTGGACTGTGACAACCAGCCCCCGGACCCTGATCGCCTTTTCCAACGTTGTTTCATGGCAACTGTGACATCTATCAACGTTGAGGGTCCTGCATAGACTGGTGGACTCCTTTTATCTTGATTCCCTCTTTGGCAGCCATCTACCGGTCACCACTAAACTGTCACTATTTTCATTAATAACGAGTGCAGGTTGGACCAAATACATTTTCACTAAATCAGACATGGTTATCTTTGCTTGACTCAGTAGAACACAACTGCTAACAGTTTGCAAAATCCTCAGAGAAAGTGTTTCTCAAACTTTTTACACCGCATACCACCTCAGAAAATAATAATATTATATTATATATTATTATATTACCACCATTATGGCCGACATTAAAATACAGTAGCGTATGCTGACCCTATTCAGCTACGGACAGTTCACACAGGAGGCAGCTTTATTCCTAATGAAAAGATTAGTAATTGCTTGAATCCTGAATAGAACAGTTAAGGAACCAGAGCTAATTTGGTGGAAAAGGGGTTCTCGTGGTCCACACTTCTCCCAAAGGTTCTCCATTTGGAGCCACGATTACAGTGTGTCTGATGCCTTCACTTTACCTCCGCTTATTATCTTGCCATGGTTACTAAATGCATACTAATATGTATGTGCTACGTGCATGAACGTGACTACAAACCAGGCTGAACAAAATATTATGGGAAATGCAAAACGTATTTTAAATGACATTTCAGTGGTCTCATACTACAGTTTATGCATTTTCATTGGAAATGTGGAATATTTTGACAGTATTATATGTTTTTAAAGGACTTTCATTTCCTTTTGTGTCCTTCTAAAGGCAGCTTGCGTACTGCCAGTGGTATACGTACCATAGCTTGAGAACCAGTTATCTAAACAAAGACTGTAGCAGAAGAAAAAGAGTGATGCAAATGTGATCTCAGTTACTTTGCATTTTTCATTTATTAGTTGTAGTTTGGGAGTCGTACATATTATTTGTTGTGATGTGTTTGTGTAACTGTCTGTTGGACACAATCAGAGCAACAGTGTTTCTCATAATCAACATACAAACAAAAAACTGTGATTGCTAATTCCTCTTATTTTGCCTGTCGCATCAGTGCAACAACAGTGTTTTGGGGAGTAAATGAAAAACGACAAGACAAAATGACACAATTATGTGATTGTGTAGACAATCAAGTATTTTTATGGCGGTAAATCGGCAGAAGAGAATGTTTAGAAAATGTTTGCTGACTGCAAAATCAAAAGAATTGAATACAGATCAGTTAAAATATGTGGTTAGAATTGGCTTTAGATAGATGAGATGAGTTGAGTTATTATAAATGTATTAGAGCTCATTCCCTTAAGTCCAGAGGTTGTTAGCGCCTGTTACAATAAAAAATGTTTTCAAAATGACATCCACTGAGAAATAACCTCAAAACCTTATCTGAATGATGATTAATCACTGAGTCAGAAATGTTTTCACTGAACCTGAGAGACAGACAGAGTGATTTTGAGAAACAAATACTAAGTGAATTGTTTAGTTTCGCCTAAATTTCCGAGGGCACTGAGTGCTCGATGTTTGTTTTGTTTGTCTGTTCTGCTATTATTGAAGCTGCTGGCTCTAAACGCTGCTTTTACAAAGCCACAGAATAGGTTGTAATGACAGGAGGATGAAAACTGTTGATTACAAAAAAAAGCTTAACAATATGTTAATACACTAGATAAGACAAATACTAAACTCCCACGCTGCAGGCCTCTGGCCATTGACATAATAAGGTGGATATTGCATATCTCCACTGTACACAAATGAACTATCCAATATATGGGTGCTTCCATCTTTGCCATTCGGAGCTAAAGTCTGTGCAGTAGTGATCGGGGTTGGTGCCAAGATATTGAGATCCCGCCCATATGCCGAACCGACTCATTTTCGAAAAGGGATCAGCTCTTAATCATGTTGTGAAACCCCCTTTTATTTCAAATAACTAATTAAAAACAAACGTACCAAGGAAATGAACACTTGAACATACATCAGCATGATAAGAACTACCTAATATGACAGTAACCATATTTGGGAAACATTTATATGACGTGAAATTTATATTTAAATGTTTTGGTTTGGCCCCATGTCCTGTCCGCCACCAGAGGGCAATCAAGATGTTTTGGTTTCACTTTTGGAGAGCTGTCATGTCGTCCATCTTTATATATGTCAGTGTATCTGGCGCACAGGGCCACTCCACTGATTGTACACACAGCTCAGTTTACCCGTCATGATTATCTGGGTTTTGAGGCTTCAAATTTTTACAAACTGGGGACATGGAAAGATGTGGTTTACCAGTGCATTATGGGAATTGTAGGCTCTAGTGCAAACTAGGGTCACATACTAAAAGTCAGGATATCTCCCCTCTGCTTTGATTTATCTGGTAGCTTTTTAGAAGTGCAGTACTAACCCCTAAAAGTATGTCCACTGGATGCAGCTCTGTCAAGTTCCTGATCTCTGTCTCATTTCAAATGTCCGCTGGAAGAGTTTCTGGAGTGGAGCATGTAATGGCAGCCACCTTTGCTTGGCAAGTTGCCAATATTTTTAGCACAGTCCTCTTGGTGCATTCCATTAAACAGAGAAGTTGACATTTCTTAGCTCCCAGTTGGAAATTTCAACTGGAATGCCCCCTGAAGTCAGATTTCTTTAGGAAGGCAGGTAGAACGTTGCCAACCCCACCCTCCAAATCCAATATGGCTGCTCCACGCATCATCTAAGTGAAAGGTGTATAATACATACACTTTTTATTAAATCTGTCGTACACACAGTACTATCCAACTTCTGGCCGTGGATAAGTTTGTATGAGAAAAATACAGCATATTGCGTTATCAACCGGTATTGTGAACAATGGCTAATCTGGCTAGAGCTTGGTTTTCCGACTTGTACTGGAATTCCCAATTCTGACTACTGAGGTAAATGGAATGCACCATAGCATTGGCAAATTTTGTTGGTCGGTCTGTCCACCACTTGGGTCCAGACTCAACAGCTGTTGGCTAGATTTTGTACAGACATTGATGGATGAAGTTTGGTGATCCCCTGACTTTACTCTAGTGCCATGATAAGGTTTACATTTATGGTTTTGAGTGAAATATCTCAACAACTATTGGATTGCCATGACATTTTGTACAGACATTTATGTTCCCCCTGAGGGGACCCTCAGGATTGATTGTTATCACTTTGGTATCTCTTTGGTTTAGGACCAGAGAACTGCACTACTGAAATCCCCATCAGCCTCAGCTGTATTTTGTGGTTATTGCTAATGCTAGCAGATGTAAGCTCGCTAACATGCAAAATTGAGATGGTAAACATTACACCTCAGCATAGTTAGTGCTGTCATTGTGAACATGTTAGCATGCCATTAGCTTTTAGCTCAAAGCACCGCTGTGCCTAAGTACAGCCGGAAAGAGGCTAGCCTTGCTGCTGAGTCTTAAACCTTGTGTTTTACATGCACATTAAATATACGTTTGCAGCTCATCTCATCAATATGAGAACAGAATATTTGTGCCTGTACTTTATTTGTTTTATTTGTATGCAGCACGTCCTGTTATCTTTGTTTTCTAACTTTATTTCCTGAACAGTCAGTAACTAATGAAATACACAAATATTTTATTCATGTCAACTGACAGGTTGTATATACGTTCAACAGTGAATTTGAAGCTACACAGAAAAAAGCAAAGACAAAGCAAAGTAAACAGAGTTGTGTATGTGCAACATGCTCAGCAGCCACATGACATTAGGTGACAAAACACTTTCCTTTAGGGTGAAATATTCCTGTTAAGTGTTAACAGTTACATGAAGCCCTCTTAAATAAACACAACGTTTATTTGTTGAATTTACAATGTTTTGGGCTGAATTGTTGCTCCAGAATTGTTGTAATGAGAAAACCCTTGGCTGATGCATTCATCAATTCTGTGCTGTGTTAAACGTGAACATTGCAGAATGGATACAGTCTGGACAATTTGTGTTTTGCTTTGATGGTGTTGTAGGAAACACCACAGCTTTAGGTTGTAGCTGTAAATTATCATGTTATTATCATGTGCCATAACTGCTCAGTTCATTGTTACAATATTTGTGTAATGTCAGTCTGTTTATTAATTAATCTGAGATTATGAGGGACCTCATTAGCAAGATATGGCAACTCAAGTGCCTCTTACGAATGTGTATTTTCCAAAGTTGATAAAGTTATAAACTTCACTTTCTTGTGTGCTGTCTCTTACTTTGATGCCTTAAATAACTTTGATCTTGCTGCACCTCGAGCAACGTCTGCCTAAATTATATTTTCCTTTTACCTCAGCTAATGCATTTTTTATGACTCCAAACACCAAAGGTGCTGTAAAACATCCTCAGATTATTTATTCTATGTTGCGAGATGTTTTTACCCCATCATGAGACTCTTCTTCAGAAACATTGCACATGTACAGCTATACACAGGCTTACCATATTGTATATAGTTTGTATATATTTTATATTTTATTGTATTTTATTCTCTCTCTTTACTCTTTGCACTTCATTCCCTGTACTGCCAATCAATGAATTTCTCCTATGGGGGATAGAAGTAAACATCCAACAAGTAAACATGGATATAGCCTCTGGACATATCATCACTAATAACAGACCCACTTAATGCAAGCAGGGGTGGATCTAGAGAGTTTGGTGTCAAATGCTGTCAAATATAACACATTACTTTAGATTAATTAAAAATCAATCAAATTCTAATGCCACCTTTTAGATATAAATTCAATGTTTTAGGACCATGTGCCACAATAATGTAGTGCTTTTGAGTTCAAATATCATTAAATCAGCATATATTTCTCCCACCCCTTAAAGTCTCCATGCCCCATAAATATTTTTCTAGATCTGCCCCTACACGCAAATACGTCACAGATGAGCAAAATACTGTATGTTGAAGATACAAATCCTACCTGTACCCCTCTTATAGTTAAATGCATTCCCTAATTTTGTTAGAGCATCATTCCCCAAATTTACTCCCTGCTATTTCTGCATAGTTTCTGCATAGTATATGGCAGGCAGTGGAGCCTGAGAACAACAATAAAGTTCCATTTCTGTTTCTGAGGGAAATATCCGGTTCTTCAGCTGCTAAATGCTTCACTGTGTTTACCAACTAGTCTCAGTCTGTCTACTACCTGCTTAGCAGCAAACAGAGTGTTTTTCTAGAGCTTTTTCTATGAAAATAGCCATCTGCTGCAGCTGAAAATGATGCTCTGAGAGCAGTGAGAGTGAGAAAAATGACCTGAAACTAAAAAGACCAGGAACACCTCACAAGAGTTGCAGTTATATTATTATATTCTGACCCAGTCGTCTATCACAATGTGGCCCTTGTCAAAGTCTCTCTAATCCTCACGCTGCTCATTTTTCCACTAACACATCAACTTTGAGGACAAAATGTTTACTTGCTGTCTAATATATCCCACCCACTTACAGTGGTGTGAAAAAGTGATCTCCCCTCTGCTTTTGATTTGATCTTACCTTTTTAGAAGAATGCCGTTACTAACCGCCGCCCTAAAAATCATAGTCCACTGGATCAGCTTCTGTCAATTCGGCTCATCTCGTTCTATTCAAATGTCCGCTATGGAAGAGGTTTCTGGATTGGAGCATGTAAATGGCAGCCACCTTTGCCTTGGCAAGTTGCCAAAATATTTTGTAATTATTACTAGACATCTTGGTGCATTCCATTAAAAACAGAAAGTTACGAGTGTTCTGTAGCCCCAGTTTGGACAAATTTCAAGCTGGAAGTGCCCCTGAAGTCAGATTCTTTAGGAAGGCAAGAGGGAGATTAGAACGGTTTGGGCCAACCCGCACCCTCGCAAATGCACAATGAATTGGACTGGCTCCACGCGATCACTCTAAGTGAAAAGGGTGTTAAATAGCATGACGACTTTTTATTAAAATCTGTCGGTAACACAACATAACTATCCAAACTGTTGGCCGTGGATAAGTTTGTATGAGAAAGAAATACAAAACTAATTATTTGGCGTTTATCACCACTACCAGCGGTATTAGTAACACATGCAGCTTAAATCTGAGTAGGAGGCTTTGTGGTTTTACGACTTGTTACTGGAAAATTCCCAAATTCCTGCACACTACTGAAGGGTAAATGGATGCAACCATAGCATTGCGAATATTTTTGTTCGGTTTCGGTCTGTACCCCACTTGAGGTCAGACTCAACAGCTGTTTGCGGCTAGATGTTGTGTACAGGACATTGGATGGATGAAGTTTTTTTTTAGCGTTGATCCCGCTGAGTTTGACGTCTAGCTGCCCAATGATCAAAGTGTTGACATTTATGGGTTTGGCAGTAGAATATTATCGTCAAACGAACTATTGGATGTGCGCGAAGTACATTTTACAGGACACTTTTATAATTCCCCCTTGAGCCGAACTCCTCAGAATTGATTGTTAATCGAACTATTAGAGCATATCTCTTTAAGGTTTTGAGCGACCACGAGAAAACTAGCCAGAACTACTGAAATCCCATCAAGCCTCCGCTGCTCAATATTTTGCGTTAGTTGCTGAGATGCCTAGCCAAGATAGTTACAAGCGAATCGAGCCTAACATGCGAAATTGAGACGATGAAACAATTAACACCTTCAGCATATTTTTTTTACGTGGCTTAGTCATGTTAGTGAACAATTTTTAGCGATCGCCACTTCTAGCTATTTTAGCTCAAAGGCACCGGCTGGTTGCATAAGCCTACAGCCGGAACAAGAAAGGCATAGCCCCTTGCTGCAATCTCGAAGTCGTTACCAAACCATTGTGTTTTTACATGCACATATAACATATACGTTTTGCAGTCTACACTCTAAACATCAATTATTGAGAACAGAATATTTTTGCTGCCTGTCTTTATCTTCGTTTTACATTTGTAGTAGACAGCAGTCGACCTAGTTATAACTTTGTGGTCATTTCTTTTTTCAACTAAACATTTATTTTTTCCCCCGGCTGAAACAGTGCAGATAAACTTAATTTAATACACATGTGATATATATTATTACATTCATAATTTGCATGATGCAAAGCTAGACTGCAGAGTTGAACATCAAAGTATTACGGTTTCAACAACGCTTGAAACTTTGAAGCTTACAGCAAGGAAAAAAAGCAAAAAAAAAGAAAGACCAACAAGCAAAAAGTAAACAGAGTTGTGTATTGTTGCAACTGATGCTCGAGCAGAACCACACTGAAAACACCTTAAACGGTGGACCAAGAGAAGCACTTTCCTTATAGGGTGAAATAAATTCCTGTTAATGTTAAAACAGTTTACATGAAGCCATCTTGATAATGATAAATCAGACAACGATTGGTATTTCCTTGTGTTGAGAATGTTTGAGCAGATGTTTTTTGGGGTCTAGGAAATTGGTTTGCTCCAGAATTGGTGTGTAAATGAGGTGGATAGAAGCGCGCGGGTTGGCTGATGCATGTGCGAGTCGGGGGAGGGAAAGTATCCGCTGGAACATAGGTGCTTTAAACGTAGAAACATCTGGCAAGAAATGGAGTAACACAAGTGACTGGAAAAATTTTGTGTTTTTGCTATTTAGCGATGGTGGGGTTTGTCAGTGAAAAACACCACAGCTTTAGGTTGTGGCTGTTACCAAATTATCAATGTCCTATTATCATTTGATACGCCACATAGACTGCCTCAGTATTCATTCGTTCAGACCCAAATATTCATGAGTAATGTCTAGCTTCATGATATTATTTAAATTAATCTGAGTTAATGGAGAGGACCTCATTAGGCAAGAATATGCCAACTCACAGTAGCCTCCTTTACAGACGAATGGGTGTATTATTCCAAAAAAGTTGAAATAAAAGTTATAAACTTCACACATTTTGTGTGCTGTTACATTACATTTGAATGCACTAATAAAAATACAACTTTGATAGCTTGCTCAGCAAGCCCTCGCAGGCAACGCTACCGTAGAAATAGTATATTTTCCATTATTACTCAAAAAGGACTAATGCCGCAATATTTTTTAATAGACATCAAACACCAAAGGTGCTGGGTAAAAAACATCACTCAAGACATATATTATAATAATTCATATGTTTGCCGAGGATGTCTTTAAACTTACACCCATCAATAGAACAGGCATCTTCTTCAGAAAAACAACTTGCACATTTACAGCCATAACACAAGGCTTAACCATATTGATATAAATAAGGATTAATGTAATACTAATAATTAATATTTTATATGTAAATTTTTATTCTCTCTATATTAACTCTATTGCATATCAAATCCCCTGATACTGCCACACAACATGAATTTACTAACAATGGAGGAGATTCAGAAAGTAACAATTCCAACACAGTCAAAACCATAGAGACATATTCAGCCTTAGACAAAACGAACGGGACATATCATCACCTAAATAACAACGACCCCACTTTAAAATGCAAGGCAGGGGTGGGAATCTTTAGAGAGTTTTTAGGTGACATCAAAATCGATGCAATCAAATATACACACATTCAGACTCATTGAGGCATTTAATTCTAAAACATCAAATCATATCTCTTGAATTGGCCACTTTTTAGATATAATCAATGTTTTTCAAGGAACCATAGTAGCCACCAAAATAATGTTCAGTCGCTATTTTTGGACAGCTTCAAAAATTTAATCATTAAATCAGGACAATAATATTTCTTCCCAACCCCTTTACAAGAAATTTACTCCAAAATGGCCCCCATAAATATTAATTTTAGATCTGCCCAAACTTACAACGCAAAATTACGTCTACAAAGAAATGAGGCAAAAAATAACCATAGATAAATGTATAAACGAAAGATACAAACCATTACCACAACTACCTGTACCCACAACTACTTATAGTATAATGCATAATACACCTAATATTTGTTAGAGCATCTTCCAACCAAATCATTACTCACAACTGCATATTTCTGGCAATAGTTTTACCTGCCACGAAAACTAGTCTAATTCATGGCAGGCAGTGGAAGCCTGAGAACAACAATAAAGTTTCAAAATTCTGTTCTAGACAGGGGAAAATATCCAGGTATCTTCAAGCTGACCTAAAATGCTATCAACCTGGTGTCTTAACAAACTTAGTCTCAAAAGTCTGTCTACCACTAAACTGCTTACGCAGGCAAACAGAGTGGTTTTTCTAGCAGCTTACATTTCTAATGACAAAATCAAAAGCCAGTCTGCTCACTAAAA